GAATTTGACTCATGACTGTCTGTCAAGTACACAGACGTTTGAGAGGGAATCAAATAGTGACGTAGAATATTGCAGTGAAAAAATAAAATGGGGCTGAAATTATACAAAATGACAAAAGGTAACAGGCGTAGAAAGTCATACAGGTTCAGAGGCATCACATTTTCTGCATTTGTTGGAGTTGAGGCTTCACTGATGTTTGTCTTCTCTCTTGTAATATTATTATTATTATTATTTTTTTTTTCTGTTCAGGTGGTTTGTCATTGTCAGAGGAGTCACACAGCAGGTCTGATCACAAGATAACACATTTTGGTCTCACTCTGTTGGAACAGCATGAGCTAACGTCAGGGTTGGTCGCGGTGTTTAGCCGTAAATCGGCAAATAATCTGGTGTAGTAAGCATGCAGAGTTGCTTTTTAATATCTACTCTATGTGTGAAATGCTCAAAATTTACATATTTTGTGTATTTATTTAGCTTTATTGCTATTTCTTTATAATCTTTTAGAAAACAGCTTCCTACTGCCTGCTATTTATCTCTCAAACTCATAATTTCATTGAAACAACATATTACCCCCTCATCAACTGCTGCTCTCAGTGTCTATATCATCCAGCTCCTTTAGATAAAAAGTCACTTAATTAGAACTGTCATGTTTCATCTCAGCCCCTTTGGCACATTGGGAAAATAACACAAACAACACTCCTGATTAGGAAGAAGTTTCTCTTAAGGAACATGGAGGCAGTAATGAAGTCTCCTTGATGTGGCAGAAAACAGACGCTGCAGTTTGTCGCTAGGTCTGCTAAATGTTGGCCGGCTTATCTAAGGGAGTTATCCTAAATACACTCCAGAACGAGTACCCTTGAAGCGTCAGCACCATAATGTATCACAAGGCTCCTTCTGGAGTATAAGACAAGTTGGCAATACCAGACCACTGCTGTTTTTTTTTTTTTATCTTTTCCCCAGTTTTATTTATTTTATTTTATTTTATTTCATTTGATTTTATTTTTTAAAAAGAGTTTCCTAGCTTTTTTCCTTTATGTGTTTTATTATGTAGCCTTTTGCGCTTCATTGCCATTTTTGGGGTAGAAAGGAGGGTATCTAATTCACTACTCTGATAAAACTTATTTATGAGATTATTTCTTGATCAAGTAGCTGCTGCTTGATCAGTTGTGCTTTGAGACAAACCACATACTGTCCATGTTTCCAAGCTTGATTCTGTCGTGGAGACAGTTTTTCTGTTACACCAGAAATCATAATTATTAGTTAACCTGTTGATTGTGTTGTAAAAAAATTGAGAAGGTCCTTGATTTTTGATAGCTTTTTTTAACTTCATGTGGAGAAATTTACCACCCAAAATCCAATTTTTATTCTTATTATTTTTAAATAACCTTTTTGAAAAAAAGGTTTGACATCTCACTGAGACTAAGGAGTGTTGTCTTCAGTGTAAAATAGCAATGTTTGTGCCTGGATTGAATTTTTCATTTTCACACCAACTGGCCATTGGCCAGGTCAAGATAAGATAAAAATCATCACATTCGATTTCAGTGCATCTCTTCCTGCAAACTGGTTTGCCACCAAGTTGAACTTGACTTGGAACGTGGTAGAGAAATCTTTCTTTGCAAGGACAGTGATACAGTAATGTTTTCTAATGAAGTTTGTTACCCGGTTTACAGACAGTTCTAAGCACTGGTGAATCGAAGCTCCACCTACTTTGAGGGATTTTCTTTAAAACCACAGGCTAACTCTGGTTGTCTTGAACAAAGTCATGTTAGAAGATCCACTTAAAACCCATCTCCAGTCTTCTTGCATAGGGAAAAAGGATTATATTTAAGGCTTTAGCCTACTTGGCCCAATGCAATAAAGGCATTCTTAACCCCAAGCAGAAAAACAGTTATAGAATATTATGTTCCACTCTGTACTTAAATGATCGGGGAGATTATACTATTTAAGCAATCGATGCCAAAGAGCTTAATTTTGGTCTCAGCTGACCACCGAAGTTTCTCCCAAACTCCTGAATCATTTAGGTGTTGCAAACCAAAGATAGGTCTTAAAATGTAGATATTCCTGTCTTAAGCAGCTCTAAGAAATTAATTATTAGAAGAGGTGTGCTTTATGCATTGCTGAGGTAAGGAGAATCTGTAAAAGATTCACTGGTCTATGAGCTACATGGAATCGTCGCTCTGTGGAAGCCAAAATTCAGACTGAGGTTATGTACTTGTTTCCCCGGGTCATTTAAATCCATTTTTAATTTTATGTGAGGGATTGAGATCGATATTATTCTGTCTCTTTACATTGATAATATAGCACCATTATAAATGAGAGACTTTACTTTTTTTTTTTTTTTACAAAAAACAAACAGAAAAATAGTTTGTTTGTACTATTTGTAGTTTTGTAAATCATCGTACAGTTGACATCAAATCTTCTTATTGGAATGTGTACGTTTATAACTATTTCTGAAGGAAGATTTATTTTTCCTCCTCTTTGTAAGCGACTCGGGATCTAATTTGCTGTCAAGTCTAATTTTGCTCTTATGCAGCTGTCAAGAAATTGCTGTTTACTTGTAAGAAAATGGCTTTGATCAAAATTGCTCTTCCCCGTTGCTTTTCTAACACCATGCATGTCAACTGTATATTAAATGTTGGCTCAGACCAGTTGTTGAAGGTCTAAGGCCCATTTTTCACTCACACATCTGATAAGATCAAGTTGATTAAATACGTCGACTTCTAACCTACCGATGTTGTCCAAATGGAGACTTTACATAGCAAGTTCTGATTGGCTCTGCATCTGATTACTCTAATCTAGGATTGTTTTTGTTTTTCTGCTTCTGTTTTTTTTTTTTTTTTTTTTTTTTTTTTTTTGCAATGGGATTAAGAGGTGGTGCGTGAGATAGGGAATTGTCAGTGTTCACAGGGAAAAGGTTGGCTTGCCAGAAAGGAGGATTAAATTAGGATGGATTTGAAAGGTGGATAAAAAGCAATGCTCTTCCTTAACATATTTTGTTCACATAATTTGAAATGTCTGGTCACCATTCAGCCGTCCCAGTGCCATGTCCCTTGACACACGTCTTAAGATTTTGACCTTTTTGCTCATTAAATGCAGAATGGGTTTTCTAATGTGCTGCAATAATGCTGCTGTGGGTTAGAATCATCTCACTGAGATTACACGTATGCAGCAGATTATGGATGATCAAGGATAATAGAAGTGTGTGGACGGCCTAATCATTAAGGCTGACTTACCCTTATTATAATGAAACACATTTGCAGAGATTATCTCGACTCTAATCAGAACAAAGAAAGCTCATCCACCTTTAAACCATTGTTTTTCTAAATATATACATCCCACTTCGATGCAAGGCTGCACGCTTTCACGCTTCACTTTTTTTTTTATTTTTTTTTATATTAATACTTCTGAGGTGTTAATCTTGCACGGTCACAAGTTAACACCATGCAAATTAGGTGCAATGTTTGCAGCTCATTTTAAGTTGAATAGCATTAGTGTATACCGACTATTTTATCCGGTATGAGGAGTTTATTGGCAGAGCCGCCAGATGAGTGTAAAACAGAGCAATCACCGGTGTGAATCACAGGGTTGGGAAGAGGAGTTTTTACTTCGCCACAAGAAGGCTGTGGCCTCCTGTCTAAAGATAAAATAACAGTTGGTAGTAAACTCTGACAGTGGGATTGCTGTGGTCAAATAAATGTCTTGTTTTCTCCCTCAAGCAAATTTTAATGTCAAAGATTTGCTTAATAAATACGTCAATCACTTTCTTATAATTATTAGTGAGAAAATGCCATCCAAATCAATTTCGTTCCATGTGAAAAACAACAACTCCTTTTTTTGAATCTTGAAATGAGTGCTGAAAAATGATCCATCATTCCATTATTTGAGTGGGTATTAGCAGCTCAGGTTTCAAGAATCCTCCTCTGTGTACTTATAAAAACAATTTTCAAAGAAAAGTGGCCCAAAATCCTTCTACCGTGATACAAAAGACTTGTTACAAGTTATGACAACCAAAGATTGTATAACCAGTTATTAGGATTATGGAGCACTTAACTTCTTTTTTGGTTTGAACAATTTTGTTGTCATATAAAATAAAATTATCCTTTGGAAATTGCAAATTGAATTTCCTCAGATTATCTTTGTCTGACGTTCAATTTTGTTTCATGTTCTGAAACACTGCAGTGTGACAAAAGATGATTAAAAAAACAACTTTTGCACAGAACAGTATGTTTATAACAAGAGAAAAAGCAGATTATCCTGTTACCATAGTGCATGCCTGCATCATGCAGATCTATTTGCTGGAAATAAAAAGCATAAACACGCTCCACCCACCACTCTTCAATTGTCCCGGTGTAATTTGCACTCTGGCTAAATTAGCTGCTCAGAGTAAATCTGGTCAGCTGTTGTGTTTGTTGGAATGTAAAAGTGAAGCCCTGAGAGCACAGTAGTTATGCACAAAAACACTCACAGGTGCAAACACTCAGACTGTGCTGTTATGGGCTAATGCCCACAGGAAAGCGAAGACATCTCTGCATCTCTTATGTCAATTACCATCAGGTCCTGCAGGAACACACACCGGGCCTACACACGCATAGACATGCACGATATGCAGACCATCCAAGTTGTCCTTTTCTTCCCGTTCCCGTCTTTGTTTCTCTGTGGGAGTGATTTGTCAGTAAGGTGGGGGAGTTAACACTCCGATGAGCAAACAACAACAGACTACCCAAAAATACATCTCGCGGTTCACACCGTCTCAGCCTTTGGTTGATCACACCCGGCGTGAGCTCGGCTGACTGGAGATTGAGCAACTTGCGCTGTGCCTCTTGATGACAACTTGAAACCCACAGTGACATAAGGACTGGACGATAAAAAGCCACGGTGCATCCATCTGCTGTTATTTTTTTTTCTTCTTACTGGAAAAGACAACACGCCTATTGTTCCTATGAAACGAGGCTTGCATAAAGTGTTCCCCAAATAACTTTTTGTTTGTTTCTTATCTTCGACAGATTTTTCAGGGGAAAACATCTGGGACCAGATAAAGAAGATATTTTGGCCTCGTGGGAGGAGTGGCGCAGTGGAGGGAGCCGTGCCATAGAGGAAGCAACCAATTGAGGCACTTGCCAGGGAAAGACTTAGCACTGAGCTCATCTGGGACTCTGAGCAGCGGGCGGTGAGAGAAGGAGGCCATGTGGACCGCACGCCTGCTAGTCCTCGCCAGCCTCTTCGCACCAGCCGCACTGGGTGAGTCTGTCTCCTTTAATCCAACATTTCTCTTTGTGAATGCATGTGGGCATAAAACATAGCCTTGCTTTGTGTTTGATTGGCCATGGTTTGAAGACGTATCAGAATAATCTTTTCACTGTGCAAGTGCCAAATTCTACAGCATCCACGAAAACAAAATTCTCCACTTCTGTCTCTCTTGTTTTCACTTCTACCTCTGACTAATTAGCAGTTTATTTTCTCTTTTTTTCCCTCTCTTAACTTTCTGATGCTTTTACACATCACTCTCATTTTTTTTCAATTCTCTTATTTTCTTGGTGTATCATTAAATATAGGGAAGCCTCCTACATTCACAAAAATAGCATTAATGCTATAACATTGCACTGTAGCGGTTTAAATATAATTATTACAGAAAGAGACAAAAACTCTTGACTCTTCTTTTCATGCCTTAAAACCTGACTTATTTTAAAGGAGCGTACATACAGTGGTATGCTAAATCTAATTGTTATGTGGTTTGTTGTTAGTTTATGTCAGAGGCTGACACAAAGCAATGCATAATTAAAAAGTAGAAGGAAAATTATACATTTATTGCAATGTGAATAAAAATCTGAAAAGTGTTTCTTTTTTTCAATCTGTCCCCTTTTACTTGGTTGCACCTAAAAATATATGCATTCAGATTCTTTTAGTGGTCACCTCATTAATAAATGCATATTAATAAATGCATAGACGTAATCACAGTCATGCAACAATGAAGCGGTGCAGAAGCTTAAGACAAGGTTAGGTTATTACACATTATCTATTTAATCCGTTATTTGACAATACCAGTCGTATGACACAACTGCATACCGACCAAAACATGACCTTCCACCTAACTTTGCAGGTCAGACGAGGAGAGCATTAATTATTGGAAGCAGTCAAGAGGTTCACGGTAAAGCTTGAGAGCTACAGAGATTCATAGCTGGCGTTGGTGACTGCAAAAAAAGTGAGGTGGAGGTTCCGTTTCCAGTGCGACAACTCTAAAAATGTAAACAGAGCTACAATAAAATGACTTAGATTCAAGTAAATTCATATTGTAAAGTGACATGGACATAAATCTAACTTGGAGAGTTATGGTAGTGTTTAAAAAAACGGATGTTTGAAGATTCTCTTCATCCTTTCTATCTGGGCTTGAGTTATTTTTAAAAAAGGAGAGGCAAATATTTTAGTCCCTAAAAGTGCAAAACTGTTAGAAACGTTCTCCAAAAGGCTTGAAGTTCAATTGCAATTTTTGTTTCGCAGTGTTGATTAAATGTGTGCCGCACTTTTCAGATTTTTGTTTGTAATTATTTTCTTTCCACTTAGCAATCACGCATGACTTTGTGTTTGGTCTCTAACATAAACTCCTAATAAATTACACTGACGTTTGTTGTTTCAATGTGATAAAGTGCTCGACACCGTTTATGTTTAGAAAGATTCCAGATAAGAAAAAAAAAATCGTTGTCTCTTCTTTCAAGCATAAAAATGTGAGGATTACTTGTCTTATATAGCAGCTCTGTAAACAGAAGGCACCGTAGCTGTAACGCCTTTGCAGATTGTTAACTGAGTTCATTCAGATCTTGATTTTTAAGAAGTCGATGGTGTTGTTTTAAGGGTTTTGGGATGTTTTTGTGGCCGCAGTTTAGCTGTAGGGAGTGCCTGGGGGCCAACAGCCTGTAAAAATGGCAATTTGCACTGTCTACAACCATTAATGGAAAATATCAAGCTAATTAAATTGTTATTTTACCACTCAAGGGTGGTGGCAACTGGGTTCACTCTCCATTGATAATGATAGTAAGGTTTGGCATCACTAGTTTTTCTTTAATGCCTAATAAAAATGTCAAGTCAGCCCTTTGCCATGCATCTCTTCAGCGATTCTGTTGAGTAAAAATTGTCAGATTTTAATACTAGTAGGGCAGATGAGGCACTGAAACGCTTCAGAATTCATTTGTGATAAGAAATTGCTGTTCATAATGCTGACTTGAACTCCCTGTTCTGAATAAAGAGGGAAGAACACAGAGCTGTAATCAAGCGAGAGCTCTTGATGACGTTAGCTGTTGAGAAACATTGGTGATGTGGTTCAGAAAAAGTCAAGGCTAACCAACTTCCTCATATAAGCCTGACTCCCAGTACTTTGAGTCATTCTTTGTGCAGATTAGCTACTGATTAACAGCACCATACTCCTTCTGACAGAGTGGTAATTTCTGTAAAATCCCCATAGCATGAATGAGATATTATTAGACCATGTTAATGTTTGTTAAAAACCTTTTTTTCTGGAAAATTTCTTTACAGTTTTACCAGAACAAGTAATATGCTCTTATACATTGTCACCTTAAGTGAACAAACCGGGATTAACACATTTAGACCAAAAGCTGTAGCATAATATATTTGTGTTCGAAACAAAAGACCACCAGTTATTCATATTTTGATTTTAATGCAAAAACTTAACACACACAAAAAAATATATTGAGTATAATATTACAACTTGTTTTTGTCATTCAGCTCCTCAAAATTAGTCAAGCTATCGGCTCAGGTAGCCAGCCCAGGTCCACTGCTTAACAGACATGACAAAAAACTCTGGTCTTCACGTGTCTTTCTTGGAAGTCAGGGAATAAGTGTAGTTGTTTTCATCCAGCAAACTGGCTGGCAGTGCACAGCAAAGAGGGCAGGGGCAGATCTGCATCACTCTGTGCTTCAGAAAACATATACTGCACTTTTTCCAATATCTTAGCAGAAAGGAATGTAAACTGTTGGAAACGGTATGCAAGAACATCTTAGCATTTTTGAAACCTTAACTTAACCTATCCACCACCAAAAAAAAAAAAAACAAACTTTATACTTTGATACCAGTAGCAGGCTAGTTCTAATGCAATAAATCATTTATAAGACATTGTTCTGCTTCTAATTATGAATTCCTGAATTCTACAGCCTTTACAATGGCAGGAACTGAGGTGCCCTAATCAATACTAGTTCAGTTCAATAATTCAAAGCAATTCAGTTGAATTCAGATTCTTCATATTGTCTAAATTAAAACTAAAATAGTGATTTATATTCATGCCTGGTCTAAAAACAAGTAAAGCGCAACTCAACTTCCTAGAGAGCCTCTTACCATCTGAGGAAGGAGGAAGCGATTGAGCTGACTCAAAACATCTGGGACTCTCAGCCACAGCCTCAGAAAATTTCAAATTAATCCCACTGGTCAACCAGGAAAACGATAACAGAAAGTGAAATTTTATTTTAATAAGTGATGCCGGTGTCTGATGATAAGAAAGTAAAAGTTATATATTCACTAAACGGGTAGTTTAGGGTTAAGTTTTAGATTAGGAAAAAAAAGGTCTTTATTAAAGATTAGTAATCTAAGTGATTCAGATTAGCCATCTAAAAAGTCTTAAAGAAAGACAAAGAAATGACCTGTGTTTCCAGATCAGCCAGGCCTCTTTCATGTTTTGGCGTCAACCTTGTGGGTGCAGTTCACAACAAAACTCTTCAAGAACTGTTAGGTTAAATATCAAATTTAGTACAAATTCAATAAAATAAATCGATATCGTCTGATCCACGCTATTTCAGTGTAAATTCTACGATAGCAACAGACAAATTCATCTGTTTGCTATTTAGTAAGTTCAAAATAAGTAGCCAAGCATATAAAATTGAGTTGGGAATACTTTCTGTTGGAAAGAACAATAACCAGTTCGAAAAAATAGCTCTGTCAAATGTCTACGTCTGGGGAAAAATGTCTGAACACAGGGTCAGTGAGATAGGTGTTGGCAGAAAAACAGAGATGGCACACAGTGATGACAGTTCTTCCTGCAAATAATACATAGTATCTGGAAAAATAAGTGACGGAGGAATTGTGGTCAGTTTTTCTACCCAGCACCCTGACCCTATAGGAGCATCACAGCTTTAATGAGACAGTGATGTTGCTCTGTGGGAGAAGAGGAAAGAAAAAAAAAAACAGTTTTAAATGGTCTGTAACAACGAACACTGTTTGGCACATGATAAGCTTTGTATCGGTTAATATTTCTCTGCCTTTAACAAAGTGCTGTTAAAAACTGTGCAGTTATGCAAATCTAAGCTGAAGTCCGTTAATTAGCTTTGTAGCTTCCTGTTTTCAGCTGGGAAAAAAAAAAGTTTCATGTAATTTAATGTAAAAATGCAAACATGAGCCAGTTATTTAAGACACTTACATGCAACACCGATGTAGCAGATTAATATTATTTTAATTTGTAATTTTTACAAAAACAATTAGGTCAGGGAAAACATTTTAGAGTCATGGTATTTTGGCCGCCTTTACTTTTGATTAACTTTAGCTTTAATCTGTTCCAATATGACAGACATCGGTATAAAACTGCATTTCCTGTCCTATTATTCTGGAATGATATGTTCCTGTTCAACATGGAGGAGTGCACCATCCATCAACACTATTAGAGCTAAAGCTTTGAAGTCTATCTTGATTAGACACACATGTCAGTGTTTAAATATTCTGCACAGACAACTGATGTAAGAATATCAGTCTCAACTTATCGGAAAGTTCGTCAAGCATCTGAGAAAAAGGCTGAAGCTTAGCAGCTGTGGATAAACCAAAGCAGTAAGTTCAGCTGATGAGTAGAAAGCATAAATTTGCACACTTTAGTCCAAAGTCAAGTGAAAAAATGCCTTTGTGAATATATCCCATTGTTTTTAGTAAATTTAAAGCATTATGAACTTAAAAGTGCTCATGTTTCTCTAAAAAGTAAATGCCTTCATTATCTGTTAGAAATTAACAGAAATATAAAACAATTAGTGATTAGGACTCCTGGAATATTTGTCAGTTTTTACTTAAGACTTTTGCCTTTGTTTTCTTTGGATGAAGTAATATGTCCACAAAACACAATCCAAGCATTCTGCTCAAGATGAGTTGGTTGACATATTGTAAATAATTAGAACTCTTCTGTAAGAAAGGCAATCCACTGCCCAACCCCCATCCACTATAAGCAGACAAGGCCAGATGTTTCCAGTGAAGTGTGTTG